TGGCAGCTTTTATACCACCATCCACCTTTATAGTCTAACGCACAGTTTCCGTTGTTTTTATCGTCGTTATCTTTGTCTTTGGTTGTAAACCTCATGTTTCTAGGATATCAAATGCATTTCGTAAGAAACTGAGAAAAAGCGAGGAAGCAATGCTTCTAGCAGCATATCATAGTCAGTAAAGTGCAACTGGCATCACATGGTGAGAAATATCCAAGGAGCACTAACTGTCAGCAATGTACAGTCATATCAGGAAAGTTCGGGAAAATGGAACCGTGAGCTACGTACGCTTGGTTGTTTTAGTGAATAGTAATAGTTAATAGTGCAGCATGCAGGAATTTTATGTCATCTTGTTGAAAGGAGCAATCCTGGTTAGCAATAAACTGGAACTTAAAATATCTGATCGGCGATGATGCAGTTGAGCTCAGATTTGTCGTATGTAAAAAAACTCTGATCAGCTTAAGAGTAGGGGATCCTCAGCTTCCAACAATCATCAACGTATTTCCAAATTCTCGGGCTGGAGACTTTTTGAAATTACCCTTGTATTACAAGTCATTATCAGAGCAAAGTATAAAAGGGTACCATGAGATATACCTGATAGGTATGTTCGAAAGCAATGAGTCGCCTGCGGTGCCTCGGTATCCATCGATTGTCACCTGATAATTATCGCTTTCGTCGGCCACAGTAAAAGTCGTGTACTCGGCAAATCGTCGGTCGCCTTCGTAATCCTCCATATCAATTCGAAACGCCATGCTGGCAGATGCAGTCAGACGGTGAAGATAATCGTTTCCGAGCCAAAACTCGCCTTTCAAATTTCCAAAGCCTCTTTTGTATGATTCCCAGTCGACATAAAAGTCCACAGAGCCATCCATGCGCCTTTGAAAGATGGTCCATCCTCCGCCATCAGTTGTCATGTCACACAGCACTTGAAAGGGTTCTTCTTCATCAGGTTGAACCCAGTACACACCGTCAGTTTTGGAACCATTTTGATAATAGTCAAGACAGTTCTTAGGGCAATCTAGAAACAACGAAAAAAAATAAAAACGCTTTAACGATAACAAAAATTATTTATTCTACCTCTCTCTCTCTCTCTCTCTTTAGATGTTTTTGTAATGGACGTTACATCCTTGATCTTTCGTACCCCTGCCTATCTGGTACTATTCTAGCCGTTTTATCTGTCCCCGGCATTTTCAGTATGTCTCTCTTCCAGAGTTGTTTTTGTCTTTCCCCGAACAGATCTCCACTTACCTCTAATACACTTACAAACATGAGTGTTTGATTTGTAGTCAACAACACAAATCTCATTCTCCTTGCAAGGATTATCTTCCTCGCAGGTGCTCTTAAAATTAAAGAAAGAAAAACAGTTTACAAAGAGATATCAAAAGGATGATGGCAGACTTTTTCGTTCAAGGAGGTTCTATAGGGTTTTGTGACGAGATCTGGGTGCGAACATAGCGCGAACTTGAAAAGTGTCGACATGCATGACATGGCGGCTCGATACGATCGCACGATTGTTATCTGAAAAGGTGTGATAAAAACAGTTAATTTAGTGTTAACAACTGAGTTGAATCGTAAACTGGCCTGACGAAGGGCTACCGCTCGAATGGTCAGCCTTTCAACCTTTTACGGTAGCCAATTTACATTTTCACCTCAGTTGTTAACACTAAATTACCTGCTCTACTCTCCCACCGACGCAGCACCACAGTTTCTTTAGAAACTTACCCCCTTTATTCGTGTGTTAAAAACAGTTAAACAGTTTCTATTTAATGGAATCTTGGGTTTCCAGCAACTGCACCCGGAATATTTATAGGCCTTCTACGCCTGAAAAATAAGTCAACCGAAAAGAAAACACCGTGGGAAAAATTACCAACAGGCGACAGATCGCGACAGATTCGAAAGTTTACGCATGCTCAGATACAGATTTTGGCGAAGTTCTATTCTATTACGTGCTGTTTTTTGACAAAGAAAATAGGGATCTTTCGAGCAAGATTTATCGCGTTTCCTTTGGTGGAACAAAAACTTGTAAGTACCTAAGAAAATTTCGGCTTTTAAATGATCGGCTGGACAGATTTCACAAATTGTGAAAATTATGAGAGCTTTTACCGAAAAAAATTGAAGAAAATCAGAGGCAAAGCCAAAAATTACCACCGGCGAGCGCCTCCCTCCATGGAGTCTTAGTTCAATAAAGAAAATCATCCATATATTTTATCATTTGTTTTTCTCGAGTTCTTGTTTAAACAAAATTAATTATTAAATGAAAAAAAGGGCCAAATATACCACACGATGTGGAGAAATTCCTGAAATAATTTTACTAATCCTTTTCCCTATCCTATCATTGCCTTTATTTAACAGATGATTTCA